GCACCACGTGCCCGGGTACTGCAGCTCATAGTGGCCCACGCGCGCCAGCGGCAGCAGCGCCACAGCCAAGGCCACGGCGGCTAGGGCGGCCAGAGCAAGCCGCGCGCGGGCCACTGAGACACACGCCGCGTGCAGCAGGGGCCGCGTGACCCCCACGCAGCGCTCCACCGCCATGCCGCAGCCCAGTAGCAGCGGGCACAGGCCGAAGAAGACCATGCAGCCGCCGAGGAAGTGGCACGTTCCTCCAGACGGCGAGCGCCCCGCCGTGTACAGGCGCAGCACCAGCGCGCCCGGGATCACGTGGCCTGCCAGGTCAGTGGCCAACAGGCTGGCAACGAACAGTAGGAAGGTGGCGGCCGAGCGGCGGCGCCGCAGGCGGCCAGAGGCCTGAGCCAGAAGCGCTAATGCCAGCACGTTGGACACGGCACCCAGCGTCATGGAGAAGATGGGCAGAGCCGGCGATGCGCCCGCGACACCTGACGGCAGCCCCACCGACACGTTGGGGGCCCCAGGCACCGCACACGTCGTTGCCTCATCCTCCAGGCTCAGGTTGAGGGGCCCGCAAGGGCTCATGTCAGATGAGAGGGGTGGGGCTGGGGAGAAGAGGAGGGCAAGATGAGGCTGGCCCCGGACACACTGCCCACCATCCTGCTGAGACCAGCCGGTGTTGGGGGGGACCCATTTCAGATCGTCAGGGCCTACTTGCCCCCATGGCAAGTCCAATGACCCTGGCTGCCCAGTTCCTGACTCCTCCACCTCCTCTGCCTCTCCACATCCCAGCTCTTGCCCCCAGCCTCACTCTGCCCTCACTGTCCCCTTCTCTGTCCACAGTGGCTGTCCTGGCTCCAGTTCTCCTGTCTCTGTCGTAGCCTCTAGGCCTCACAGACCCACCTCCCATTTACACCACAGCAAATTCCTGGGCGCTGACCCCACCTGTACTGGCCCATTTCTGATCTCAGGGCCCCACGTGATCCCACTACCCCATCTCTGACAGTCATCATGTCACCCCTACTTTAGTTCCATCCTTGATTCCTACAGCCCCATCTCTGCCACTCCCTCCCATTGTACTGTCTCTGTCTTCTTGGTCCCATTTGTGTCCCCATGTTGCTTTTCTGTCCCCCACAGTCCCCTGTACCCACAGCTATATTCCTGTCCCCCACATTCCCATCTCTGAGCTCTACTGCTGTCTCTCACTCAGGTCCTACCCTTAACCATGGCTGCCTTGCCCTGAATGCCCCAGAGTTCCACTCCTGCCATATTCATGTTCCTGCCCCCAGAGGCCTCCAGGCTGACCCAGGACTACTCATCCCTTGGTATCATGGTGAGGGCAGAGAGGGCAAAAGTGCCCACTAGGTCAGACGGGAAAGGAAGATGGACTGACGGTAAGACAGGGACAGATGGGGCTGAGAGCCAAGGAACACAGGACAGAGGGAACCATGGCCCCATCCTTCCTTGCCCTCCAGCCCCACCCCAGAGCCTTGATCCCCAGCCTTCTTACCTGGTGGTGCCTGGGACACCGGGTCCCCATCGCCTGCTTCTTGGCCCCTGCTGCCCGTTGCACCCACACCCGCTGTGTCCGAGCTCTCTGGCAGGCCGCTCCCTCCCTCCCTTCCTCCAGGGGCGGCTCCTCAGCTCCCTGCCTCCTCCTGCTGCCTGCTCAGGCCTCCAGGGGCCGCTAAACCCAGCACCAGCCCACAGGGGGCCTGGGGTGGCAGAGACACCCTCTCTGTGCTGCTGGCAATGGGTGAGGGCCACTCTGGGCCCCTGCCCCCTCTATGAAGAAGGGGTCTCCTAGGGAGTTGTCCTGCCCCATCCCCCGTGACCTCCTCCCCCTGACAAAGCAGGAGCACCCCCCTTCCCCTCAGGCATGGGCCTCTGGCCTGCCTCATTAATAAAGTGGATAAAATCTAAACACTGGAAAATGTGAGTGTCACGGGGGGGTGGGGGAAGGCTGGGGTGGCTACAGGGGGTTCCAGTGCTCCCACTGGGGATGCAAAGTTGGGGGTCTAGCTCTTGTGGGGGCAACAGCACCCCCTTGCCTTGATGTTGAGTGGGTGGTAGTGGGCAGTGCCTTGGGTGGGCCAGCTTGGGTCAGGCCCAGCCAGGCCAAGAGACCCGCCCACTATTTACACAGGGGCTTAAAGCCCAGGGCAGGGCAGCAGTAGTCATACCCCTGGAGGGGCGGGGGAGGATGCTGAAGTGGGGCAGGGAAACCAGAACTTCCACTGACCGGGGGGACTCCTAGATCATGCTTTAGGGTGTGGTGAGTGACACATGGGACATACACATCTCAAGCCACAAAGACACACCTGTGGACACACAGCTACAGCCTCATCTCTTGCCCTGAGTAGGGACATGCACACAGTCTCACAATCATATCCCCTAACACCGAGACCAGCCACCATCACAAACTGTCCCTGGCCAGCCACACCTTGGGGTCAGCCATTGTCACATAAACATACCCTGAACTCACTGAGACAGTCGCACTCCCAGCACCAGAGATGTACCTCAAGTTACTGACTCTAACACTGACCACTTCTCTCAACACCCTAAAGTGCAGCCCCCTGAGATTCTTACTGCTGAGACAGCCCCGCAGCCATATCCAAATGACCTAGCAACACTCCCTAACACTCCCGAGACAAGTTACACGGACACACTCCACACGCCATGGGGTGGCAACCACTGGACATTCCGAGATCTAGCTGGTCACCCCCTACCGGGGAAACAGGAATATCTAGACACACGTGCTCATGGCCCTGTAATTCCACAGCCACACTCCATGCAGACACTGCCAGTTACACTCACGAACACCCTGGCACACAGTCATCGCGCCTCGTTCCCTCAACAGTTACAGCCTTCAACGTGGTCACAGAACGTCAACACTGATCCAGTCCTATTCTCTGCACTGAGACACACCACACCCTTCAAACTGGAGCTGTCTACCGTCAGACACAGGAAGCACCTACAGGTGCCCAGGAATTTTTGGAGTAACCCTGACGACTTCCGCCCCCACCCTACCAAGAACACAGCTGCAGATTGAGTATGCATCCCCTGCCCAGCGGACCCCCTCCCCCACTGCCTGCCCTGTGGAAGTGAGGAGCGGGCTGGACTCACACTTTCCCTCTCAGCTCACCCCCAAACATTCCTGCAGAGACCTCTGGCCTGGCTGGCTCCCCTCCCTTCAGTCTTGGCTCTTCCCTCCAGGTCTGGCCAGGATCCCAACCCCCCTTCTTTGATCTCCCTCAATCCTCAGGGATGAAGCCGGTTGTCAAAACAAGCAGGCCCGATTTATGTCCAGGGCATGGTGTGACCCACCATGGATGCCTTCAGACCCCGCACATCCAGTTAGTTGGGGTGGAGACCCCATCGTGAATGTTCCCCCAGCTTCAGGGGTAAACTCTTCCCCATAGCACTCGCTTCAGCAGGCCCAAGGCTCCATTTGGGCCTCCATCTTTTTCCATGCCAGGCCTCCATGCCTCCTGGCCCTGAGGCTCCCCACAACCCTAGGCTGTAGCGAGCAGCCTCGTGCCCACTGTTCACATCAACCTGGAGTGCTGGGAGGCCTCGTTCAAAAGGGAGCAAGACTTGAACCCTCAGTAGACAAAGAAGCTCCAGACTTGCCTGGAGGCCTGGTGGCCCACAGCCAGGAGCCTCATCAGGCGGAACGGGTAGAAGGAGGGTGGGTGGCCCAGGCCAGCTCCTAATTCAATTTAGGGCCCAAGTAGGATAGATTTCAGCTGCTACATTCCTCCCCAGCCCGGGTCCGCCCCCCACTCCCACCCCAGTCATCAGACAGGTCCAACAGCAGATAGAGTCTTTATGTTCCAGACAGCAAATTCAGATATAAAAGCCCACCGCCATCTTCTCTCTTGCCCCATCTGTCAGGGGCTGGGCTGAGGGAGACACGGAGGGTTGGGGAGGTTGGGGGTTCACAGCAGACTTGTGTTTCAAATGCGGAGGTAGGGGGCTCCTCTGGAGTGGGGCAGTGGAAGGGGAGGGTATTATTGCATTTGCTAAAGGGGGATACCCCCACGTTTGGATTCCCTGCATCAGGAAACCAGGGAGGCCAGGACCCCCAAATAGAACCGGAGGTCCCAGGGAGACAGAGGGACCAGTTTGGCAGCTGATGTGGAAAGTTTTGGGGACAGGGGCTGGCTGGCCAATCTGGCTGGTCCCTCCCCGCGTCTGACCCGGCTGAGGTAGGTGGGGAACAGGGCAGAGGGGACAGCTAGGGACCCCAGCCAGACTGGGAACCAGGGAGGGGGTGGTACCAACTGGAGTGGGGCATGGGCTCTGCCCCACCTCCGCGCTGCACTGTCCTGGGGCTGCTGGGCCAGGCCCGAGCTGGATACTGGCTGTGGTGTCCCCACCCCAGGGACTCACACCACGTTGGGCTCAGGCCATCACAAGGTCCAGTGGGAGGCTTAGTAACGGCCAACCTTGGCATCCCCAATGGCACCCCAGACATCAAAGACAAACTCATCAGGGAAGGCGAAGTCACCAAGCCGCTCATCCAGGGCCTCAGCCAGCTCATCTGGGTTCCTCTTGTCCTTCCCAAGTTCCACCATGGTGGCCGCTGGGGGGAGGGGGGAGCAGAATGGAGGCACAGATGGCAGAGGTGCTCAGGATAGACGTAGCCCGCAGGACGTGGAAACCCCCTCCCACAGACTACCACCCCTACCCAGATCCAGGTGCCACCCACTCACCCAGCTCTGTGTCCCTGATGCCCATGTAACTCTCCAGCAGGTCATCTACTTTCTCAATCGCCTTCTCCTCAAAGGCCGAGGGCTTGGAAGGAGCGGGGAAAGGAGAAACAGTAGCATCATAATAACGTGAACGTAACTATAATCGTATTTACTAAGTGCCAGGTCTCTTTTTGTCACTTTATGTGTATTAACCTACAGTTCATCTTCAAGACAACCCTGACAGTGTCAGTACTACTATCCTCCCATTTTACAGACAAGGAAACCGAGGCTCACTTGCCCAAAAAAGGTCCCAGAGCTGGGAGGAGGCAGAGATGGGTTTGAATCCAGTGCCTGGAGCCCCTCAGCTAAGAGGTGGTGCTGCCATCTATGAATGTGCAAGGAAGTGGGGCTGGAGCCCTGCTGGAACACTCACCAGATCCTCTACTGTGGCAGGGCCCCGCGATCGAAGCCGGAGGGTCCCTCGGCCAGTGCCCAGCTGGGGGCCAGAGCCAGGGCGGCCACCCGCTGAACGCATGCTGATCATGTCTGTGGGAGCCAGGGGAGGGGTGAAGGTGGGGAAAGCCCAATTCCAGCCTGTTCTGGGCAGGAACCTAGGCATCCTGGACTTAGATACTTCCCTCCACCTTCTCTAAGCTCCCGTGGGATCCACGGGGAGTTGGGAGCTGAGATGATTCCAGGAGGGCATGACCCCTGACTTAAGCTTGCCATGGATGGGAAGGGACACTCAGGGGCTGGAAATGGAAAAGGCTGCAAGGGAGACCAGAGGGGGCCACATTTGTACCGAGGGCCCTAGGGACAGAAAGGGGGTGGAGCCTCAGTCTCTAGCTGCTCTCCCCAAGGCCAAGGGGGTAGAGTTGCTGGGCCGCAGATCGGCCCTTTCTGCCTGGGAAAGTGTTTCAGAGTCTCCTACCCCCATCCCCACCCCAGGGGCCTCCAGCCCATTCCTGAGAGTTAGTGAAGCCAGACTGAAAAGTGGGGAGGCTGGCACAGAGCAGCCAAGCCTGGCTTCTCGGGGCTGGGGGAAATGGCCAGGGTTGGGGGCACTTGGCTGGGCTAATGGCTCCTGGAAGCTGGGTGTGGGGGCAACTTCCTCCTTGCCCCAACCTTCCTCCCAGGCTGGGCAGAGAGCCAGCACCCCCTCCCCAAGGCAGGGTGGAGCTGCCCCTTTCAAACTGTCAGCTGGGTTTGGGTGCCACCTGCTGGTAGCCCTTGGCACTGCAGCTTGGACTGAAGTAAACAGGGTGATGATCATGCTGGTACAGGCGGTGGACCCTCACCAAAAGCCTTGCGGGGCTCCGTGAGCTTCAGTGTGAAGGTGCGGCCTCGGGGCAGCTCCTTGAGCAGCCGGGCCACTTCATAGTGCCGGCAGCCCAGCAGGCTCTGTCCATTGATGGCCTCGATCATGTCACCCACGCTGATGAGCTGGATGTGGTCGATTACACTGCCCTCCTTGATCCGCTGTGGGGGAGAGGAGTTGTCAATCCCGTGGCTCCACCCCTGGAACCTATGGCCTGCCCTAACCTCAGGCACCTTGATGAAGGCATAGCCTGCCCCGTTGTCCGTGATGGTGAGCCCCAGCGCCTCCTCCGACTTGAACACCTCCACTTCTTTGCGCTGCCCCTTGACGTGGGCGAAGATGAAGTCCTCCAGCCCAATCTGGCCCCCGAGGAGCTTGTCCATGTCCACTTTGTGGGTATTGAGAGTACAGAACATCACCTGCAGAGGTGGGAGACACTCAACCCTTACCTTCCCTCCCTTGTACTTTGCAACCCCACCTAAGGAGGAAGGAGGAAAGTCAGGACAGGCCTGAGGGTCTCCACCCCAGTGCCTGACCACCCTTGGCACCAGGGCAGGGCCCCGACTGGGATGTAAGCTCTGCTAGGGCTAGGATTTCTGTCCTAGCAAAAACTCCCTGCTGGTTCCAGGCATAGAGCCTGGCCCAATGTGAGAGTCCAGTAAATGCCTGTAGAATGAATGAAGGGGCACAGATTCCCGCTCGGCCTACTGAGACCCCTGCAGCTACTTTTTGCTCAACTCCACTTCTGGGCTCTCTTCCTTCAGCGCCCAAAGTCTTTGGGGTTGGGCCTTCCTATGCATTATGCAGAAGTGAGTCTTGCACTTGACCTCCAGCCCCCACAATCCACTGGGGTACAAGCCTCTCAATGAATGTTGGGAATGTAGCATCCAGTCCTGGGCATCAGTTCTCATAATCTACTGGGGTGCAGGCTTCCCAGTGCCAAATGGGAACTCAACATTCAGCCTTGGCCTCCAGTTCCTAATTCACTGGGGAACAGGCCTCAGCACCTGCAGCTTTGGCACTTGAGCCCCAGCTCAAGATCAGGATGCACGCCCAGGCCTCTAAACCCACCATCAGGGCCCCTGGTACCCCCTGGTGGGTACCTCAGCAACTGGCAGCCGGAAGGCCTCGGCGATCTTGCTGTACAGCTCCTTGACGTTGGTAAAGCCCTCGATGCGGCCAGTGGGACTGCCGTGGGCCAGCTGGGTGTGGAACACGAGGCGGGGCCGCAGGGCCGGGGGAGGAGGGGGCAAGCCCATTTGGGGCCCCCCTGCTCCACCTCCACCCAGGGGCCCTGGCTCCCCCACGCCCAGCCCACCTCGGCCTGGCTCAGCTTCCTCATTTTCCACCAGAGGCGGCGCCTTTTTCCGCCGCCCCAGTCCCAGCGGCATGAGCAACGGAAAGAGGGGTCGCGTCCAGAAGATCTGCAGGGTGGGAAAGTGGGCTCAGGGCCTGGGCAATGGCCCTGGGCTGCCTCTCCCCACCATTAGCGCCCTATAGGCCCAATGACATATTCAGAGAACAGATTGGCCTCGGTTCAGATCCCAGTCCCAGCACTTCTACACTCATACAGAAGTAATAATAGCAGCTCGTATCTCTTAGGACCCCACACTAACTGTTCTGTGACTTTACTTAATCCTCACGCCACATCTCGATGTAGGGATCATATATGCTATGATTATGCCGATATAACAGATAAGACGATGGAGAATCAGAGCGGTTAAATTCCTCTTTTTCTATAGGTCGCAGTCATTAGTGCTGTGTGCAAAAAAGTTCTGACTCTCCCTTCAAAGCACATAGGCAGATGGCACATACTGACCTACTTACAACTGGGCAGAAATAGTTCTGGTCAATGAATTGTGAGAGAAAGTAACATATGACATTTCTGGACTGAAGCATTTAATTACTGGAGCAAGAGCCTCCAGAGGTCGATTTCTCCCTGGCGGGATGACCACCCATATTTAACATGGGCCTCAGCTGCCTGGTCTACCAATAGGAACATTCTATTCACCTGGCTACGTTGTGGTGAGGACCAAATTATGCCAAACTATATTTTTGTGTGTAAATGGGACTTCCTGCTCCCTCCTTTAGATCACCTCTTCTGGGGGTTGTCCTGGATTCAGTTGAGTCCAGTAGGCTGCACTCATCCTTATACATGCATTCATTTACTCACTCATTCATTCATCTATTCTCCAACATCTCCTCTAGTATAACCTGGTCCAGCTCCACCATCACTCACCTAGACTAGTATAGCTCCCTCCTTCGGGTCTTCTGGCTTTTGCCCTTGCCCCCCACGGTCTCTTGTCAACACAGCAGCCAGAGTGATCCTGTAAAATATTAAGCCATGTCACATCTATTCTCTGCTCTGACCTCTCCCCGGGCTCCTAACATCCTCCCCTGGGCACACAGGTCCCCAAAGACCTGCCCCCATCACCTCCCTGCCCTCATCTCCTCCCATTTTCCCCCTCCCTCCCTCCCTCCAGTCATATAGGCCTTGTCCCTGTTTCTCCAACATACCAGGCACTGTCCAGCCTCAGGGCCTTTGCACTAGCTGTGGCCCCTGGTATCCATACAACTCACTCTCTCACCTCTTTCAGGTGGAAAATATATTTCATTGTTTTCCAAAAGGGCAAAGACTTTTGTCTGTCTTATTCATCCCCACATTCTCAGTGCAGAGAACAGTGCCTGGCACGTAGCAGGTGCTCAATACTTGTTGAATCATGAATGGATGAATGAATGATCCTAATACTCATCAGCCCACCAGTCCCTGTGCCTGGCTCTGGGGAGACAAAGGGACACAGGATGTAGTGTCTTCCCTTAAGAGGGCTTTGTCTCTTCATCAAAAGCACAAGCCCCACCTCTGTGGTCCCCAATCCCTTGCTTCCCAGTGTAGTGCTGGGCACAGGGCAAGTGCTTCATCTGGCCATGGAGACAGGGACTGCAAGTCTCTCACCTTTCTCTGTGTTTTTTTTCACTCCCTTCATAATCAATGATGAATACTTTTTTATACATTTATTAACCATTTAGATTTACCCTTTTGTGACTTGCCTATTTAAGACATTGCCCAATTAAAAAAATTTTTTTTTAAATTGCATGGCCTGTCTTTTTTCTTATTGACTTGTGGGAACTCTTTATATATTTCAGTTATTAATACTATCTGTTCTGAATATATTCTTTTAACTCTACTGATAGTGCCCATCACTAGATCTAGCACAGTAGGCACTCACTGAATATTTGACAAAAAATAAATTCTAGATGAATAAGCCAATACTGCCTCAAGTTATTTTATTACACTCAATGGTACTTAAAAAAAAAAAAAAAAACTCTCATCACCACCTCCCCTAATCCTCCTCTCCCACCATACACTGGGAGGCAGGATGCCAAGAACATGAGTCTGGAATCTAGCTTCACTGCTTAATAGCTGTGTGGCCTTGGACAAGTATCTTAAGCTCTCTGAGTTCTAAGGAAATCATACATATGCCTGGAACAGTTCCTAGCACACAATATACGGGTTCCATAAATGTTGGCAATTATTACTATTTCTATCTATAAATATAGAAGATACTTCCTCTTTTTCTCAGGACCCCCACATCTTGATCACCATTTCCCAACCTCCTTATTCTCTCTGCCCACGCTCACTGCCCTGGTTCAGGCTGGCTGCTGTGTCCTCACTTGTGGGGGTGGGGGATATAACGGTGGTGAGGAAAGTGGTGATTAATGAATTTGCCTTCCAGGCCAGAAGAGGCAGGGTGGCCTCGGTTTGAATCCCACCCCGCGGCTTACCAGCTGTGTGGCCATAGGCAAGTCACTTCATTTGACAGGACCTCAGTTTCCCCATCTGAAAAATGGGCAGAAGTACTGTCTTTCAGAGTGCTTATGGAGATTCAAAGAGATTATGCATGTAACCTGCTTAGCACTTTGCCTGACATTCAGTTTAAGTTGTTATTTTATTATCATTACTATACTGCCTCTTCCTCTGCCCTGCCTAGGAACATGCCATCCCCTCTGCCCACCAGGACCTACTCCAGGCCACTTCCTCCAGGCAGCCTCCCGGGCTTGCCCCTGCCTGTTGGAACCGCCCCTGTGGTCCAGACGGCTCAGGCCCATGAACTTAATTACATGTTGCCCTGGCAGAATGCTTGTCTTCCAGTCTTAGGCTGTTATTTAACTTCGTGTCTCTATTTTAAAATGTAAACCAGATCATATCACTCCCCTGCCTCAAATCCTACAATGGTTTCCCACCTGATGGAGAAAAAGCTCCAAACTCCTTAATGTGACCCCCAGACTCCTGTAGAATAGTGGCTTTGGCTGCATCTCCTGCCCCAGCCACCCTATTCCAAACCTGGTCCAGCCTCAGAGCCTTTGCTCTGGCTGTGTCCCCTGCCTGATCTTTACAGGGTTGGCTCCTTTTTGCCATTAAGGTCTCGGCTCCAAAGTCAACTTCTCCGAAAGCCCCCCTTGCCCAGAGTTTCTATCATGCCACTCCCTCATATTTTATTCATAGTAGTTATCAACAACTGCAGGTTTCTTCGTTTACTTGTTAGCTTGTTTGTTGCTTGTTTCCCCCACTAGAAATGGCAGCTCCCCAAGAGCAAGGATTTTTGTCTTGTTCACTACCGAATCCTCTGTGCCAAGAATAGTGCCTGGCACAGAGTAGGTGCTCAATAAATATTTGTATGAACGAATGTATCTTATGTCCTCATTCTGACTGTTCTCTGAGCCTCCAAATCCTCAGATCATGCCTGCTGTGGAGTTGCAAACTGCCATCTTACCTCACGTTCCCAGGCTCCCCTCAAATCTGAAGACAGGGTGGGAGAAAAGGAGTTTCAGCCTGGGCATCGAACGGGTTAGCGGGTTAGCTGGAACTCCAGCATCCCTACCTTTTCTTCCTTCCCTGGGAAGGGCCTGAAACTTAGCAACCCCACAGCCACATAGAATGGCTGTGGGGGCGGGGAGCAGGAAGTGGGAAGGGGGTTCCTAGGAGCTGACACAAACTCGGGGAGGGGAGACACCACGCCCAGGCTCCCCTTTCCCAGGGTAATGCTTTGGAGAGGAAGGCGGGAGGCCTCTGATTCAGTCTTGAAAAACCGGCTCCTGGGTGTTTCCAGGGAGAACGCCTACTGCGCCTGCCTACTGTGCCTGCGTTGGCTGAGGCTTCCAAGGAGGGCCCGGCAGGCACAGGACCCCAGCATCCTGGCCCCCTGCCTATCTTCCCTGAAGACATCACTCTCGTCTCGGGGCACAGGTACTCTAGCGATGCGTTCCAGCTCAGGGGAGAAGGGACATGGGGCAGCTTATTCTTTGAGTGTCTGGTGACTTCTGGGGAGGAGAGAGTGGGGGGAGAAGCAAAGACCAGCAGGTGTGACCTAGATGGTATGTATAGTGTGTGCGTAGGGGGGAGGTAGGGGGTGGGCCGTCAGTGCAGCAGGCGGAGGAGTTGTTCAGGAACGTCTCAGCCATGGAGCCACTGGCCATGCAGTCTAGTGGCTAAGACTCCAGGTCTGGCCTCTGAGATTTGAATTCCAGATCAGCCTCTTACTAGCTGTGTACCTTGGGTAAGTCACTCCACCTCTCTGGATCTGTTGCTTCACTCCTAAAAGAAGTGACAGCACTTTCCATGAGGTGTTTAAATTCAACGATCCGCATGGTAAATACCTGACACGGAAGTGTTCAGTTAATGCTAGTCGGAGTGAATTTTTCATTGTTATTATCGGGACCTCGGTCCTTCCCAGGCCCCCCTTTCCCAGGCCCTAGAAGATTGGGATCCGGCCAGCTCCGGGGAAGTGCCCGGATAGGGCTCAGAAATACCGACCCCGCGCCTGTGCCCGCCCAGGCCGCGGCTGACCAGAGGGGTGCAGGGGGCAGGGGTACGGCTGGAGACCCTATCCGGGCAGCGGAGGCGTTGGCCCCTTACCTCCAGCGGGAAGGGAGGCGCCCGGCTGAGAAGGGTCCTCGGACATCCCCCTCACCCAGCCCAGACCTCCAGCAGAGTCTCGCCTGCGGTGGAAACTCACCTGCGCCGCCGCCGCCCTGCGCGCGCCCAACTCGGCCCTCCGCAAACTCTGGCCCGGGCCTCTCCCGCAGCCGCTGCCAGGGGGCGGGGCCGGTGCCCGCGCCCGACCAATCAGGAACGGCCGCCCAGAGCTCGCGGCCAATCCTCGCCTCGCCTTGCCGGGTCGGGTGGACCCGACGGAAACATTCCAGAGGGATCCCTCCGCCTCGCCGGCTCTTCCCGACACCCCACGCCGCGGCGCAGTGGACCTTCCCACTCCGCCTAAGCTTCGGTGGGCTGTACCACCGCAGGGCTGCGGAGGGGGGAGCTGCGGCTGGGCCCCGGCCAATCGCGGGGAAGGAAGGAGACGAGCGGCCAATGGGAAGCTGGGGGCCCTGGACCACGTGCTGTTGGTCGATTGTTGGTCTCCGGGGTACTGGGTGGTAAGGGACGTGAGGCTGGCTGTGGGAGTCAGGTGACCAAGGTTGAGTTTCGGAGAGCGGATGCGAACTCTCATCATCTGGAAGATTTCTGGTCACTAAAAGCAGTGGGATCAGATGAGTCCTCCGCCAGGCCTGCTCCTCCTGCCGGAGCCCAACCATCCTCAGAACGGATAAAAAGATGCATTCATTCCAGGCTGGCGGTGGGGGGGGCGGGGCGATGACCGAGATGAATAGGGAGGGTCCCGAGAGTCCCTGCTTCCTGGAGTGTACAATGGACAAGGGCATTCATTCATTCATTCATTCACTCATCAAATATTTAGTGTGCCCATGCTTGGTGCCAGGCTCTGTCCTATCTCTATAAGCTGAATGTGCTCCTAGTAGAGGGAACAGCGTGTGCAAAAGCCTGGAGGCAGGACAGAGAGATACAGCTAGTGTCTCTTTGGGATAGTGCAATATCGTAGGAGATAGCAAAAGGGTGCAATGAAACGAATGACAAGGGCGAGATTGCCTGTTTCCTTGTTGGTTAGACCAACAAATATTTATTGAGCACATACTATGTGTATCCACATAACCCAAACTTCTGCTCTCAGGAAGCTGATCTTTAATGAATCTGTCTCCTCTATCCGACTGTGCCTATCCTCCACCCTCCCACCCCCTTCACACCGCCGGGCACAGAGCATACATGTGTGGATGAAAGGACCACGTAATCTCCCCATCTCTGGGTTTGTCTTGTAACCGTAATTTCTCAGGTAGGAGCAGATCCAAGAAACAAAGATGCAAACGCACCTCGAAAAGTCCAGGACACTCAGTTCTCAAGACCGGTGATATTTCCTTGTTCTAGTTCAAAACCGGCCACTCAGGCAGCTGGGGTTAGATCAGGATTTCACTGTGTGTTCTGGGAACTGTAGTTCTTGGAGGCCTCTAACTGTTGGGACCTTGCTTAGGCCTCAATGCCTGGGTCTTTGCAGTCCCCAAGGTGACCTGCTGTGCATCCCAGCCCCACCAGGGCCAGCAGAGGGGTGAGGGCCAGCAGAGGGGTGAGAGTGGGCCCTGAGGCCTCGCTGCTGAAGCTGCTGAGGGCTGCCCAGCAAAGCCCCACCCAGCTGGCAAACACTGAGGTTGCCATGGCAACAGGTTCAGCTATTGTCCTTGTCTTCCTGTTTTGCTGACCTCTACCACCCCCAATGAGTGATCAGTTGCTTCAGCTGGGCCAGTGCCCTCTGTGGGACTGTGCCCACTGCCCTGGTTGCACCTGGCATCTGAGTTGCCCACTACACACTTGGAGAAGGCAGGTTGTAGGGCTGCAGGAACAACAGAGTTCTCAGCCAGAACCCACCTTAATCCACATGTTAACAGATAAGAAAATGTCCAGGGAGGGGTGAGGGAGTTACCCAAGGACACAGAGCTGAGCTGGGCACATCTTACGCTGTTTTAGAGCTCAAGAGACAAGGCCTGAAAATAAGCTGGGAGACCTAGCTGGCGAAGGAGCTCAGTTCTGAGTGTTACTTCTGCCTCTTTAGAGAATGGAAGTTCTGGGATGCCAACTAATACATGCAGGAGGAAAGGTTGAGTTAAATGTCACCATTTTGCAGACAGTAGAGGAATAAATGATTCAGGCAAGTCTTATCAATGGGGAAGTGGATATTCAGTCTCAAAAGACCAGCCCATAGACTATTTGTTAATTATAATGGGGAAAAGTTACCAGTAGAGAAACCTGGAAGTCACCACCTTAACCAAGTGATCGAAGTTAACATCACCAGTGATGGGACAGGCTGTCCTCTCGTGCTCCCTGCTGTGTTATTCTGAGACGGACACAACATCACTTACGAAGTCCTTGGTCCTGTCCTAAGTGTTTAACCTGAATCTAATTGTGAGGAGACAACCAGACACATCCCAATTGAGGGACATTCTTAAAAAAAGAAAGATAGAGGAGGGGAGAGGGAGAGAGAGAGAAAGGGAGGAAGGGAAGAAGAGAGTGAAGTGGGGGGAGGAGGAGGAGGAGGAGGAGGAGGTAAACAATCACCTAGACTGTTCAAACAGATCTATGTCATGAAAGGCAAAATCAATCCCTTAATTAAATGAATGAATAAAGTCTGAGGAACAAGTCTATACTAAAGGAGACAAAAGAGAGGTGATAACCAAAATCATTGTATAATCCTTGATTGGATCTTCAATAAAATTTCAAAAAAAGATAAAACAGCTATGAAGTATATTTTTGGGATAATTGAAGATATTTGAATGTTGAGCGAATATTAGATAATATTGTATTCATGTTAAATTTCCTGAGGGTGAGCGCTGTACTGTGGTTACATAAAAGAATGGTCTTATTCTTAGGTGATACACGCTGAATTATTTAGTGGTAAATTTGTGATGGCTGCAACTCTCATGGTTCAGAGAAAAATTATACATGTATACAATAGTTTATATACAATATCATACGTTAGTATTAGTATATAGGGAGAGAAAGAGAGAATGCAAATGTGACAAAATAGTAACAATTGTCGCTGAATCCAGGAGAGTGGTACATGTTATATGGGTGTTCATTTTATTATTCTTGTAAGTTTTCTATTGCTTTGAAAATTTCGATACAAATATTGGGGGAAAATACCTCCATTTCCCTCCCATTCCCAGAGGCAACTTTCCGGCAGGTTTAATGTGCACCTTTTTGTTTGTGTCTTTCCTTGATAATGTGTGCTGTTTTATGTGGGTGTTCTGTTGTATTGGGCTTCTTACTTTTTCCCCCACTCAGCACAGAATTGCTTGTTTTGCACTATACCTTGAAGATCCAGCTGTACTGCTAATTTCTTGACTGTTTTCTTCTAACTTCTGCTTGATGCTTGATGAGGTGCATCCCTCATATCTTACTACTCTGTCCCACAAGGATGGTCCCCAGGTAGCCTCCAGCTCCCACACCACAGCAGACAGCCATAGGCATACCCCTTTAGGGACCTGGTAAGAATTTCCCTAGGAGAGAGATCTGGACGCAGAGATGCTGTGTCACAGGGCACACTCAATGGCTATGTGGCCCCCTCAGACTATCTCCATCAGACTGAGTGGCAGTGCAGGAGTGTCCCATGTCCCCACATTACCAACTGCCGCTTGTATCATCTAGCTTACTGATTTTTGCCACTTGGAGTCACTGTCAAGTGACACCACCATTGCTTTGTTTTACATTTCTCTGATTTCTAATCATTTTGAACATGTCCTCATTTGCTTGATAACTTTCTGGTTTTCCTCTTCTGTAAATTGCCTGTTCATAGTCTTTGCCTAGTGCTTCATTTGCACCAGTGCTTCAGAGTCTAGATCTGCACTGTCTAATCTGATCTGTCCGCGGCCCCCAAACCCTGGGCCATGGACCGCTATTGGTCTGTAGCCTTTTAGGACCCGGGCCGCACAGCAGGAGGTGAGAGGAGAGCAAGTGAAGTTTCATCTGTATTTGGAGCTGCTCCCCAGCGCTAGCATCGCTGAGAGGTTTGACTGCAAGGAGACCACAATAGATCAATTGCTTGCAGGCTCATATCAAAACCCTATCAGTGAGTGGCAAAAGACAATTAAGCTGCATCTGGTGGCAGGCTTTATAGTGGCAAGTGAGTTGATATACTTCAATTACACAGCTGCATCTGGTGGCATCTAATTCTACATTATGGTGAATTGTATAATTATCTCATTATAGATTACAGTGTAATAATAATAGAAATAAAGTGCACAATAAATGTAATGTGCTCAAATCATCCCGAAACCATCCCCTCGCCCCCACCCCGCTTTCTTCCCCTAGTCCGTGGAAAAATTGTCTTCCATGAAACCTGTCCCTGGTGCCAGAAAGGTTGGGGACCCCTAGTCTAACGTGAATGCTCTACTTCTCATGTGGTTATCGAGGACTTGAAATGTGGCTGATACAAATTGAGATGTGCTGTCAGTGTGAGATACACACCAGATTTCTGAGACTTAGTAGAAAGAAGAGAGGATGCAAAATATCACATCTCATTAACTCATTTTTATAGTGATTACATGTCATCATCATAATAATGTGGTGTATATGGCTAAATAAAATGTATTATTCAAATTAATTTCACTGGTTTCTTTTTACTATTTTAATGTGGCTACTAGAAAAGTAAAATTACATATGTGCTGGGGGTGCTAGGCACTGGGAACGCCAGGCCCTGGGTGCGCGCCGGGAACACCTGGGTGGAGACTCCCTGCCTTCAGAGAACCAGTTCTTAAGGGGAGACGGTAACATCCGTGGGTCAGGGGGTGGAAGGGGGGGTGGAATTAAAGAGGGGGAAAAACATTACATGTGCATTTGCATAGTTCTATTGAATAGAGCTGGGATATTAGCCTGTCAGTTTCAACAATGGTAGATAATGTTTAGATAGAGCTTCCTATATGCTAGGCACTGTTCTAAGAATTTTATGTTTATTCAA